GACACACACTCGTTCATGATGACGCTCGACACACACTCGTTCATGATGACGCTCGACACACACTCGTTCATGATGGCGCTCGACACACACTCGCTCATGATGACGCTCGACACACACTCGCTCATGATGAAGCTCGACACACACTCGCTCATGATGACGCTCGACACACACTCGTTCATGATGACGCTCGACACACACTCGTTCATGATGACGCTCGACACACACTCGTTAATGATGACGCTCGACACACACTCGTTCATGATGACGCTCGACACACACTCGCTCATGATGACGCTCGACACACACTCGTTCATGATGACGCTCGACACACACTCGTTCATGATGACGCTCGACACACTCGTTCATGATGACGCTCGACACACACTCGTTAATGATGACGCTCGACACACACTCGTTGATGATGACGCTCGACACACACTCGTTCATGATGACGCTCGACACACACTCGTTCATGATGACGCTCGACACACACTCGTTCATGATGACGCTCGACACACACTCGTTCATGATGACGCTCGACACACACTCGCTCATGATGACGCTCGACACACACTCGCTCATGATGACGCTCGACACACACTCGCTCATGATGACGCTCGACACACACTCGTTCATGATGACGCTCGACACACACTCGTTCATGATGACGCTCGACACACACTCGTTTATGATGACGCTCGACACACACTCGTTCATGATGACGCTCGACACACACTCGCTCATGATGACGCTCGACACACACTCGTTCATGATGACGCTCGACACACACTCGTTTATGATGACGCTCGACACACACTCGTTGATGATGACGCTCGACACACTCGTTCATGATGACGCTCGACACACACTCGTTAATGATGACGTTTGACACACACTCGTTGATGATGACGCTCGACACACACTCGTTCATGATGACGCTCGACACACACTCGTTCATGATGACGCTCGACACACACTCGTTCATGATGACGCTCGACACACACTCGTTCATGATGACGCTCGACACACACTCGTTCATGATGACGCTCGACACACACTCGCTCATGATGACGCTCGACACACACTCGTTCATGATGACGCTCGACACACACTCGCTCATGATGACGCTCGACACACACTCGCTCATGATGACGCTCGACACACACTCGTTCATGATGACGCTCGACACACACTCGCTCATGATGACGCTCGACACACACTCGTTCATGATGACGCTCGACACACACTCGTTCATGATGACGCTCGACACACACTCGCTCATGATGACGCTCGACACACACTCGTTCATGATGACGCTCGACACACACTCGTTAATGATGACGCTCGACACACACTCGTTGATGATGACGCTCGACACACACTCGTTCATGATGACGCTCGACACACACTCGTTCATGATGACGCTCGACACACACTCGCTCATGATGACGCTCGACACACACTCGTTCATGATGACGCTCGACACACACTCGCTCATGATGACGCTCGACACACACTCGCTCATGATGACGCTCGACACACACTCGATGATGACGCTCGACACACACTCGCTCATGATGACGCTCGACACACACTCGTTCATGATGACGCTCGACACACACTCGTTAATGATGACGCTCGACACACACTCGTTGATGATGACGCTCGACACACACTCGTTCATGATGACGCTCGACACACACTCGTTCATGATGACGCTCGACACACACTCGTTCATGATGACGCTCGACACACACTCGTTCATGATGACGCTCGACACACTCGCTCATGATGACGCTCGACACACACTCGCTCATGATGACGCTCGACACACACTCGCTCATGATGACGCTCGACACACACTCGTTCATGATGACGCTCGACACACACTCGTTCATGATGACGCTCGACACACACTCGTTCATGATGACGCTCGACACACACTCGTTCATGATGACGCTCGACACACACTCGCTCATGATGACGCTCGACACACACTCGTTCATGATGACGCTCGACACACACTCGTTGATGATGACGCTCGACACACTCGTTCATGATGACGCTCGACACACACTCGTTGATGATGACGCTCGACACACACTCGTTGATGATGACGCTCGACACACACTCGTTCATGATGACGCTCGACACACACTCGTTCATGATGACGCTCGACACACACTCGTTCATGATGACGCTCGACACACACTCGTTCATGATGACGCTCGACACACACTCGCTCATGATGACGCTCGACACACACTCGTTCATGATGACGCTCGACACACACTCGTTCATGATGACGCTCGACACACACTCGCTCATGATGACGCTCGACACACACTCGTTCATGATGACGCTCGACACACACTCGTTAATGATGACGCTCGACACACACTCGTTGATGATGACGCTCGACACACACTCGTTCATGATGACGCTCGACACACACTCGTTCATGATGACGCTCGACACACACTCGCTCATGATGACGCTCGACACACACTCGTTCATGATGACGCTCGACACACACTCGTTCATGATGACGCTCGACACACACTCGCTCATGACGCTCGACACACACTCGTTCATGATGACGCTCGACACACACTCGTTCATGATGACGCTCGACACACACTCGCTCATGATGACGCTCGACACACACTCGTTCATGATGACGCTCGACACACACTCGTTCATGATGACGCTCGACACACACTCGTTCATGATGACGCTCGACACACACTCGTTCATGATGACGCTCGACACACACTCGCTCATGATGACGCTCGACACACACTCGTTCATGATGACGCTCGACACACACTCGTTAATGATGACGCTCGACACACACTCGTTGATGATGACGCTCGACACACACTCGTTCATGATGACGCTCGACACACACTCGTTCATGATGACGCTCGACACACACTCGCTCATGATGACGCTCGACACACACTCGTTCATGATGACGCTCGACACACACTCGCTCATGATGACGCTCGACACACACTCGCTCATGATGACGCTCGACACACACTCGTCATGATGACGCTCGACACACACTCGCTCATGATGACGCTCGACACACACTCGTTCATGATGACGCTCGACACACACTCGTTATGATGACGCTCGACACACCTCGTGTTGACGCTCGACACACACTCGTTCATGATGACGCTCGACACACACTCGTTCATGATGACGCTCGACACACACTCGTTCATGATGACGCTCGACACACACTCGTTCATGATGACGCTCGACACACACTCGTTCATGATGACGCTCGACACACACTCGCTCATGATGACGCTCGACACACACTCGCTCATGATGACGCTCGACACACACTCGCTCATGATGACGCTCGACACACACTCGTTCATGATGACGCTCGACACACACTCGTTCATGATGACGCTCGACACACACTCGTTCATGATGACGCTCGACACACACTCGTTCATGATGACGCTCGACACACACTCGCTCATGATGACGCTCGACACACACTCGTTCATGATGACGCTCGACACACACTCGTTCATGATGACGCTCGACACACACTCGTTCATGATGACGCTCGACACACACTCGTTCATGATGACGCTCGACACACACTCGTTCATGATGACGCTCGACACACTCGTTCATGATGACGCTCGACACACACTCGTTAATGATGACGCTCGACACACACTCGTTGATGATGACGCTCGACACACACTCGTTCATGATGACGCTCGACACACACTCGTTCATGATGACGCTCGACACACACTCGTTCATGATGACGCTCGACACACACTCGTTCATGATGACGCTCGACACACACTCGTTCATGATGACGCTCGACACACACTCGCTCATGATGACGCTCGACACACACTCGTTCATGATGACGCTCGACACACACTCGCTCATGATGACGCTCGACACACACTCGTTCATGATGACGCTCGACACACACTCGTTAATGATGACGCTCGACACACACTCGTTGATGATGACGCTCGACACACACTCGTTCATGATGACGCTCGACACACACTCGTTCATGATGACGCTCGACACACACTCGTTAATGATGACGCTCGACACACACTCGTTGATGATGACGCTCGACACACACTCGTTCATGATGACGCTCGACACACACTCGTTCATGATGACGCTCGACACACACTCGCTCATGATGACGCTCGACACACACTCGTTCATGATGACGCTCGACACACACTCGTTCATGATGACGCTCGACACACACTCGTTCATGATGACGCTCGACACACACTCGCTCATGATGACGCTCGACACACACTCGTTGATGATGACGCTCGACACACACTCGTTCATGATGACGCTCGACACACACTCGTTCATGATGACGCTCGACACACACTCGTTAATGATGACGCTCGACACACACTCGTTGATGATGACGCTCGACACACACTCGTTCATGATGACGCTCGACACACACTCGTTCATGATGACGCTCGACACACACTCGCTCATGATGACGCTCGACACACACTCGCTTCATGATGACGCTCGACACACACTCGCTCATGATGACGCTCGACACACACTCGTTCATGATGACGCTCGACACACACTCGCTCATGATGACGCTCGACACACACTCGTTCATGATGACGCTCGACACACACTCGTTATGATGACGCTCGACACACACTCGTTGATGATGACGCTCGACACACTCGTTCATGATGACGCTCGACACACACTCGTTATGATGACGCTCGACACACACTCGCTTATGATGACGCTCGACACACACTCGTTCATGATGAGGGAACAGCATAAAGCAACTTACAGTTATTACTGATATTTTGAGCCAATTTCCCATGATCGTGTTCTCACACACGAGAAATGCGCTTGATTCACACGTGTTATTGATATCCAGTTTGTGCATAAGTTATATTCGCAGATAACACATGAGACTCTTACATTCTGGTACGCACGCGCCCGAACGATAAATCTCCCACAGGAACGCCGAAACTCCACACGTCAGATTTGTAGAAAACCTCTGCAGAGAAAAGAGAAAAATCCATTATTACACAAACCGAAACTCTTACGCTGAGACAAACTCTTTTCATCTCACTTGTGAAACTCACACACTCACACTCTAACTCATCACAAACTCTCACTCCACTCTCACTCCACATCACTCTCTCACTCACACACTCTCACACTCACTCACTCACTCACACTCACACTCTCTCACTCACACACACCTCATCTCACTCACTCACACTCTCACACACACATCTCTCACACTCACACACACACTCTCTCACTCACCATCACATCACTCTCACTCACTCACCACTCTCTCACTCACCACTCTCTCACTCTCACACTCACTCACCACATCACACTCTCTCACTCACACACTCTCTCACTCACACCTCACTCACTCACTCTCACTCACTCACTCACACACTCACTCTCACTCACTCACTCACTCACTCACTCACTCACTCACTCACTCACTACTCACTCACTCTCCTCACTCACACACTCTCACTCACACACTCACTCACTCACACACTCACTCACTCACTCAACTCACTCACTCACTCACTCACCACTCAATCACTCACTCACCACTCACTCACTCTCTCACTCTCTCACACTCTCACTCTCTCACTCACTCTCACTCTCACTCCACTCACACACTCACAACACTCCACTCTCACTCACTCCACACTCACTCTCTCACTCAAACACTCTCTCACCTCACTCACTCACTCACTCACTCACTCAACATCACTCTCACTCTCACTCTCTCACTCACTCACACACCTCTCACTCACACACTCCTCACTCACCACACACACTCCACCTCTCACCACACACTCACTCACTCACACACTCTCACATCACACACCACACACCACTCACACACTCACTCCTCACTCACTCAAACACTCTCTCACTCACTCACTCACACACACACTCACTCACCACACTCACTCACTCACTCACTCAACACACTCACACACTCTCCACTCACACACTCTCTCACACACACACACTCACTCACCACACACACACACCACCACTCACTCACCACACACTCTCACCACCACACACACTCACTCACCACACACACTCACTCTCTCACACACTCACACACCTCTCACCACTCACTCACCACCACACACTCACTCACCACCACTCACTCACCCACTCACTCACTCACTCACCACTCACACCACTCACTCACACACACCCCACCACACACCCTCACCACACACCACCACACACACTCACACACCACCACCACACACCACTCACCACCACTCACTCACTCACACACCCACCACCACACACTCCACACCACACACTCACCACTCACACACACTCTCACCACACACCACCACACACCACACCACACACCACCACCACCACACTCACTCACTCACCACCACAACACTCACTCACCACCACCACACACACTCTCACACACTCACTCACTCACACACTCTCACACTCACCACACACCACCACTCACACACTCACCACTTCTCACCACTCACCCACCACACACCACTTCCCACTCACACCACCACCACACACACACCACTCACACACACTCCACCACTCACCACCACTCACACACACACACACCCTCACACACCACCACCACCACACACCACTCACTCACACACTCCACACCACACACACACCCACCACCACCACACCACACACCACACACACACACACACCACCACACACACACCACACCACCACTCACTCACACACTCACTCACCACTCACCACACCCACCACTCACACACTCACCACACTCACCACACTCACCACCACTCACTCACACACTCACTCACCACACACTCACTCACACCACCACTCACACACACCCACTCACACACCTCTCACCACACACCCACACACTCACAACACACTCACTCACACACTCACACACCACCACTCACACACCCACACTCACACACCTCTCACCACACACCCCACCACACACACTCACCCACACACACACCACACCTCACTCACTCACACACACACCACACACCACTCCACCACACACCCTCACACACACTCACCTCTCACACACCTCACACTCACACACTCTCACACTCACACACTCACTCACTCACACACCTCACACACACCACACACACTCTCACCACACACACCTCACTCACACACTCACTACACTCACAACACTCACACACTCTCACACTCACACTCACTCACACTCACACACACTCACACTCTCACACTCTCTCACACTCCACACACTCCCACTCACACACCACCTCACACTCACACACTCACACACACACTCTCACCACACACCACACTCCACTCACACACTCACTCACTCACTCACACACTCACTCACCACTCACTCACTCACACACCACTCACTCACTCACTCACACACTCACACACTCACCACACACTCACTCACACACACACTCACACTCACATCACACACTCTCACACCACACACCTCACACTCACACACCTCTCACTCACACACTCCCACTCACACACTCTCTCACTCACACACTCTCACTCACACACTCTCACACTCACACTCACACTCACACTCACACACTCTCACACTCACACACACTCACACTCACCACACTCACTCACCACACACTCTCTCACTCACCCACACACACACCTCACCACTCACACACCCACACACTCTCACTCACACACTCCTCACTCACACACTCTCTCACTCACACACCACTCACTCACACACCTCTCACTCACACACACCTCACTCACACACTCTCACACTCACCACACACTCACACACTCACTCCACACTCACACACACACTCACACACTCACTCTCTCACTCACACACCACACACTCACACTCACACACTCTCACTCACACACTCACACACCACCACCACACACACACCTCACCCACTCACACACTCACACTCTCACTCACACACCACTCACCACACACACACTCTCACCCACTCACACACTCACACTCACACACTCACTCACACACACACTCTCACCCACTCACTCACACACCTCTCACCACTCACTCACCACTCACTCACCACTCACTCACACACTCACACACTCACTCACTCACCACTCACTCACCACACACTCTCTCACTCACACACTCTCTCACTCACTCACACACTCTCTCACTCACTCACACACTCTCTCACTCACTCACACACTCTCTCACTCACTCACACACTCTCACACTCACACACACCTCTCTCACTCACACACTCTCTCACTCACACACTCTCTCACTCACACACTCTCTCACTCACACACTCTCTCACTCACACACTCTCACTCACACACTCTCTCACTCACACACTCTCTCACTCACACACTCTCTCACTCACACACTCTCTCACTCACACACTCTCTCACTCACACACTCTCTCACTCACACACTCTCTCACTCACACACTCTCTCACTCACACACTCTCTCACTCACACACTCACTCTCTCACTCACACACTCTCTCACTCACACACTCTCTCACTCACACACTCTCTCACACACTCTCTCACTCACACACTCTCTCACTCACACACTCTCTCACTCACACACTCACACACTCTCTCACTCACACACTCTCTCACTCACACACTCTCTCACTCACTCACTCTCTCACTCACACACTCACTCTCTCACTCACACACTCACTCTCTCACTCACACACTCACACACCTTCTCGCGCAGGGCCTCGGGCGAGGTCCACTTGACGGGAGTTTTGCCGTGTCCTGAGTGGACGAGGCCTCTTTGGTCAGACCGAAGTCGCTGACTTTAGCGATGTTGTCGTCGGACACCAAGACGTTACGAGCCGCCAGATCTCGGTGCACAAAGTTATTGGCCTCCAGATACTCCATGGCTTCACACACGTTACTGAAACACACACACACACACACACACACACACACACACACACTCCTGAAGATCCCAGCGGACAGACAGACATTTACCGTGCGCGTCTTTAAGTAAGGGATAATGTACATCCAGCCGGTTGTTATATCAGAATAACCCCCAACAGGGCGATCAGGATCCAACAGTAAACAAAACAATAGACACAAAATGGCCGCCGCTGCGTTTATATGAAACGAGAGAGCGAGTCCACGATACTGAATGGCATAATTAAATAACTGTACACAAAATATTGATTCAACTGAGTTTTAATATTTTATTAGCTCACAAAAGCAAAACCCGTTCTAGCGAGTGTGTAGCGCTGATGTCTGCAGTGACCCGGATGATGAGTGTGTGTTTCTGTGTTCTGGTGTTATCGGGGAATAATAAACCGCTGGATGTGTGATTGACCAATCAGAATCAAGTATTCCACAGAGCCGTGTAATAAAGATAACTATAACAATAACTATATTCACGTCCACACCAATGAACGATTGGTGAATCAAAGCAGCGCAAATGGACCCGCGTCTTTACGTTCCACAAAAACACCAGAGGACAAATATGATCTTTAATAAAGAGGATTACTCACAGCGAGAACTGGAGCAAACACTCGCCGCCCAGGACCGTTCGACCCCGAGAGCGCAGGTAATCCACCAGACTGCCCTGTCACACACACACACACACACACACACACACACACACACACAACTAAAGCATTTAAATATCATCTTATTAAGACATTATTGACAGATATTGATATTTATATGCCCTTTATGCAAGTATCTGCTGTACTGTTATAAAGATCTCACTGATTTACATTACAAGCATCGTATGATACTCAAACACACTTATTTATTTAAATTTAGATTTTGTCTAAATGTTCAATAAACAGTTAAAATTAAAGAAGCTTTTTTCTGACTATTAGGTTCAAATAAATATCAGTTCAGTCAGGACAGATTCTCCAACACAAAATATGAGTGTTTCTGTTTGTATTGCACGTCATGACTGAAGAGAGAGACGTCACTGACCTTCGCCATGTATTCAGTCACGATGAACAAACTGCCTCTTTCCTCCACGATCACACCCAATAACTGCACCAGGTTAGTGTGTCTCAGCTGACTGCAACACACACACACACACACACACATACACACACACACGCACACACACACACACACAGACAGACACACACAGATTTAAACTCACCATGAAATCAAAAATGACAGCTCTCGTTTCAATTGCAGTGTTTATTGTAAATGATATATGAGTGCACATCATCATCATTGTGTTAATAATCTTGAATCAGAATATCTTCCTCTTGCAGCATCTCTTCTCTTCTCTGATGACGAGGGCGGGGCTATAACCTGTCACTCACAGGAGATCAGCCAATAGCAAACCACAACCATCCAATCAGTTCCCCACAGACACAATCAAGCCCCGCCCACGTGTTCTTGTTCCAGAAGCGTTTCAATCAATATATGACACGATATCTTTCAAAGTGATTTTTCTCACACACACACACACACAAACACACACACGGATGGTCTACTATTTCCGGTTAGAACCGCAACCCACTGCGCGATTAGAACTACAAACATGAATAACAAGTGTTGAAAACTACAAACATGGCAGACGTGCGCGATCTGACTTACACAGGAGGAACAGCAGAGAGTGTTGTTAGTGTTGTTAGAGGTTATAATGCAGATGTTGTGAGTTAGAGGTTATAATGCAGATGTTGTGAGTTAATGGTTATAATGCAGATGTTGTGAGTTAGAGGTTATAATGCAGATGCTGTGAGTTAGAGGTTATAATGCAGATGTTGTGAGTTAATGGTTATAATGCAGATGTTGTGAGTTAGAGGTTATAATGCAGAAGTTGTGAGTTAGAGGTTATAATGCAGATGTTGTGAGTTAATGGTTATAATGCAGATGTTGTGAGTAAGAGGTTATAATGCAGATGTTGTGAGTTAGAGGTTATAATGCAGATGTTGTGAGTTAGAGGTTATAATGCAGAAGTTGTGAGTTAGAGGTTATAATGCAGATGTTGTGAGTTAATGGTTATAATGCAGATGTTGTGAGTAAGAGGTTATAATGCAGATGTTGTGAGTTAGAGGTTATAATGCAGATGTTGTGAGTTAGAGGTTATAATGCAGATGTTGTGAGTTAATGGTTATAATGCAGATGTTGTGAGTTAGAGGTTATAATGCAGATGTTGTGAGTTAGAGGTTATAATGCAGATGTTGTGAGTTAGAGGTTATAATGCAGATGTTGTGAGTTAGAGGTTATAATGCAGATGTTGTGAGTTAGAGGTTATAATGCAGATGTTGTGAGTTAGAGGTTATAATGCAGATGTTGTGAGTTAGAGGTTATAATGCAGATGTTGTGAGTTAATGGATATAATGCAGATGTTGTGAGTTAGAGGTTATAATGCAGATGTTGTGAGTAAGAGGTTATAATGCAGATGTTGTGAGTTAGAGGTTATAATGCAGATGTTGTGAGTTAGAGGTTATAATGCAGATGTTGTGAGTTAATGGTTATAATGCAGATGTTGTGAGTTAGAGGTTATAATGCAGATGTTGTGAGTTAGAGGTTATAATGCAGATGTTGTGAGTTAGAGGTTATAATGCAGATGTTGTGAGTTAATGGTTATAATGCAGATGTTGTGAGTTAATGGTTATAATGCAGATGTTGTGAGTTAGAGGTTATAATGCAGATGTTGTGAGTTAATGGTTATAATGCAGATTGT